TTAAAATCTAATTTTGTCTGGATAATAATTACTGGATCTGTTAGCACTTTAAAGTTTTCGTGGTTTCGATCATATAACGGACGAAATGTCTTAGTGGTCAAGAGGTAGAGTGGATCAAATAACGGAAAAAATGTTCTAGAGGTCAAGATAGTAAGGTGGATTAAATTACGGACGAAAAGTTCCAGTGGTCAAGATGGTAGATTGAAAAAAAAACGGGAGATTCGACTGGTCAAGCTGTTAGAGTTGGAGCTCCTGTGGTCAAGCCGGCCATAAACATGCGCCCATGGAACATTAAGATAAACACCCGTCACGTCACTCACTGCACCGACACGGATTTGTGCATGCATGTCTCGTGTTATGTGTCAGCTGGGAGCAGGAGTCACGGACACGGGGTGTGAACGAGTCATTGACTCGAGGTGTGGGTAGGAGTCACGGACTCGTAGTGTGAGCAGGCGTCATTGACTCATAGTGTAGGCAGGAGTCACTGACTCGTGGTGTGGGTAGGAGTCACTGACTCGTGGTGTAGGCAGGAGTCACTAGCACATTATATAAATCTTGGTAAAGCCTTTACCTATATGAAGTCACCCTCAATGAAGAAATAACCTGTAAACATTCGCCTTCTTTTTATACAATACCGTACAACTTTTTTCCACGTCACATTTAGCTTGTGACTGATTCACAAGTAATGTGCAGTAAAAAAATAATTGACGTCATGCTATTTTGAAGAGATTTACCCTTCACAAAATGTCAGACCTTCCCACTAAAATGAAGCCATGCCCCAACCTACAGACCCCTATATTACTGCAGTTTTTGTTTCTTAAAGATCCATTTCCATTCGGAATATTTATAAGTTTTGGTCAATCCAGAGCGTATTTATAAATTTCTTTAATAAAGTATATAAACGGACCATTAAAATACGAAATAATTCAATTTCTACCAAAATATCATTACTTTTTAAAATGTAAAAGTATGTCGTCACATTATCTAACCCCTCCCCCCTCCTCTCCATTGGCACAAAACTCTGAACTCCCCTACCCCCGAAAAGTATGACGTTGTTTATGTACCACCCCATATTCATGTTGGTAATGTAGAGCAGCGAGTGAACAGTTCGACAACATAAAATAAATACTCTCTAATACAACTATTTCCTGTTGAACTGAGGATTTGGATGTCAATATAGTCCGGATTTATCCGTTTCTATGATTAAAAAACACAATCTTAAACTCCCATCATCTGATAGATCCTAAGTTGGATCCAAAACGCTTTTAAAAATTTCATATTAAAACCTATGGTAAATAGATCCTATTATCTCAAGTGTATTAAAATGTATACCCAATCATACTTTAATTAAATATAAGCTCTAGCCTCCGCATGATAACCAAATTATATGTGGTCAGTCGTATCTCATCTTTAATCGCAGCCGAATTCTGGCTGAGTATAGCGATGGCCACACGAACAATCCATACACTAAAAGTAAATGAACTCAACCACAATCACCCGCGGTATATTTATACATACAACCATTTATATATAACTGTGCCTGTTGGGCTACGCACTTTTCGCATTTTTATACCCCTCTTAGTTCTTAGTTGCATTATTGAACGCAGTTTATCTCCAACATAATTAAGTATTACCTGTCAACATGTCATGCGTCATTTGGCCCGTTGTCTCAAACATAAGCCTGGTTTTGTTTCTGGATAGGTGTAGTCGGTAAACCTCTTGGTTGCTAAACCGAAAAGCCGCGAGTTCAATCCCCGGGTAGAGCAGGCTCGATAGCTGGGGGCAGCAACTCTTCTATGAGAGACAACTTCAAAATCTTGGATGGACAAAGGCTATGGAAGCAAACCCAAAAAAGAAAAGCAGGCTGAAATCGGAGGCAAGGGCCTATACGGCGCATAACAGGTTGACACGTAAAACTTAATTGTGTTGAAGGAAATTCTCTCCAACATTACCTTTAAGAACGAAGAAGAAAAAGTTTCTGAGTTTGCTATCATAACCTTTATACATCCAGGAAAATTGTAAGACACCTGCCCATCCATGTCGTCCCTTAACGTTTCAAACGATATTGTGTAACTGTAACTATAGACCACAAATAACTCAAGACTCAAGTACAAAATTTTGTTTATTAAAAAAAAACCATGACAATTCATAATTCAATCGGGTTCAAATCAAATTATAAGAAAATAAATTGTCAACATGTAAATAAATGAGTCCCGTCAAACTGGTGGTGTAAGTTACTGAAGTAACAATCCTAGTAACTATGACAACCTTTAATTCCGTGTTTTACACGCACTTAAAACTATTTATTTACACAAACAAGGCGAACCAATCAAAAAAATTGTACCACATTGCTGTCGTTAAATATATCCGCACGCGAAAATATTCTAAATGAACCGAAATATGTTGTAAATGAGAGAAGAAAAAAATTATGCAAAATGAAATAAAATATGTTAATTACCCTGAGAACCAATGCAATAATTTCAATACAATATGAACATTTAAATATATAAATAATCTTATAAACATCAAGATGATCAAATATGAAGACAGGTACGTCTAGCATTCCATGCGTCAGTGGAGACACAAAATATACGTTTAGTAACATCTTGTTTAAATAGTGTCACCTTTTCCTTAGCACTAAACCCAGGCAAATATTGCTTGTTTAAAAAAAATGTAACTAGATTAAGCAGTAACAATTGTACAAAATACATGCAGACATAAATCATCTTACAAAACACATCTGTTGACCTTTGCCCCTAATTAACTTAATTGCAAACGATATTAAACGTTTCTCTGGAAGCCTTTCCCCCTAAAATAGCACGACATAACATTCAGCACGTAAGACTTTTAAATTAACAAAGTACACTAAAAAGCAATTTTTAGCGTCAAATTTATACTTGGTACAAAACTCATTTCTTTATGTTAAAATATCATTAGATATTAATCCAGTATAAATAGATTAGGTCAACTAAAACTGAAAAAATAAATAAATAAAATAAAACTACAAAGTAAACTTCATCAAAAAAATCTGTCCGATTTATTAGTTACCTCAGGTAAAATGTGATACCTGACCTACTGGCTACTACACACCTCAGTTGCTCAAAGGGTTAAAATACTAGCCACAAAACCGAGGTTAGAAGAGTAAACCTCTCCTTGTTAAATTTAATATTGGCCTACTAACGTTTGTCTAGGTCCTAATGATGCTTAATTAAGAAATGTAACTAAATATTTCCATGATAGTAAATTCCACAAACAATTATTTTCTGTGGTGTGTAATGAAACGATTGACGCACACAGTGCCATAAGTGGGGGAGGGAGGGAGGGAGTACCCTGAAGAGATTGTACCCTGAGGTATCTCACCCCTAACTCACCCCCTCTCCACACGCACGAGACACAATTTTCTGTGGTACTCTCCAAACAAAAGTCTATAAACTTTTTGGTACTCACTGACAACTGAATGATTAATTTTAGCTGCTTAACGTGGCATGATCTACAGTTTGTCAAGTAATCTCAAGCAATTTTTTAATTTGTTGAAGTTTTAAAGTAATCTTACTCCAACAGGAGCCTCATTAAAGTTGATATTTAAATTTGATACAAGGTCATTAAAATTTGTGAAAAAAAAAACATCTTTCTAAATATTATACAAACTTGTATTTATGTACACAAATTTAGCCCGGGACATTATTTATATTATGGACATGAAATCTTTGAAAAATAAACCAACGGCAAGAGGAGACATGATCACATGACATGCATCAGATCACATGATTGAGGATTTACGGAGATACAGTAGCCATTTTACATCCAGTGGATTATGCGGATGTGAGAAACATTCACATTTTATATTACAAATTAACGTCACACAGGTGTACGTCATAAGCGTACACGTCATACAAATCTATTACACTACAAACTACTGACTAGTGGGGGTTTTTGTATATACAACATAGCGTCTGGTAGAACTGAAATTCTGCAATGGTCTTCTCAATTTTAAAGTCTGCTCCACCAGTAATTTAGTGTCACTATGAGCTAACTCAGGTCGACCTCACATTTTCAGTACCGTGAAATAATTCACCCTAAACCTAACCTAAATCTGGAATCCAGCCCACAAGCAATAAAACGTTTACATTTTAACTTAATTTTGTTCTTCCCACCTTTAATTATCTAACATGTTATTTCCAAACCAGATAGATCTAGGACAAACATCACGCTTTAACATGCCCTTAACACGACGGGTTTTGTGTACTAGTAATCTAAAAATAAATTTTTCCGAACACGGAATTACAGAAGAACTTAAGCGTTAAATTATTCTCTTTTTTTGGACAAGCATACGCATGTCTGTTATGGGGATTATCAAATTGGGGTTACGGTTGATTTATAATTAAAAATAAGTAATTATAATGTAAATATATATAATTCTACATTCCCCTCTTTCGTAAAAAAAAAAACGCCCCTTTTCATTGAGAAGGCGCACAAACTATCAAATTTTTTGTCAAGTTGGAGCAGGCATGTTACGAGGATTATCGGTGTTCTTGTCCTTTGACAAAATTTCAGTTTGTCAAGTCCGCTAACGCCGTCACACACTGAAATCCTGTGAGGAAATCTATGTACCCTGCACAAATTTAATAATCCATGCAGGTATTTGAATACATCCAGTTCACACGCTTGAGTTAATACGTGCATTTAAGATTGCAGCGTCGTTTTCTTTTCCTTTAACCTATGCCAATCACAGAGAAAATATTTCTTCTTGCAATGTATTGCCTACAAACACCTTAGCTGTAATATATCAGTGATGATTGTTCAATGGATTTCCCTTAAGATTTGTCACTGTGGATTTGTACACGCAAGTTTGTGAATGACGTCAACATTTTTTGTGTAGTAACCACATTCAATGGGACCAGTTCTACTTGTGGTGGGGTGGAAGGAATGTCTATCCATCCCCCTCCCCTCCCCACGTACACACAACACTAACGACTTTACTTTTCTTGTTCGTTAGGGAACTACTTTAACGAATCTAATGACGAGCAATCTTCGTTTTTAACCTTAGAACAGTCACGTGGGCTCCCACACTCCTCTTTGATTGGCTTATCCGGGCCGGTCAGCTTAGCCAGGTTGTTCTCCTTCTTCCACTTCATTCGGCGGTTCTGGAACCAGATCTTGATCTGCCGCTCCGTCAGGCCCAGCATGTGCGCGATCTCGATGCGCCGGCGTCTGGTCAGGTAACGGTTGAAGTGGAACTCCTTCTCCAGCTCCAGGGTTTGGTACCGTGTGTACGTCTGCCGGGTTCGCTTCTGCTCAAAGTGGACCTCAGCTGGGAGTAGACGAAAGTATGGGAAAGTTAAGTCATTGAAGACACTTCATTATAGACACAAACACAGACATTATGGACAAAGTTAAGACATTGTAGAAACTTCAGTTATAGTCACAAACACAGCAATTAACGGGCAACGTTAATACATTGAAGATGCTTCAGATAAACACAAAGGCAAAAAATTATGGGCAAAGTTAAGACATTGAAGACTTTCAGTTAAGTTATAGACACAAAGACAGAAATTATGGACAAAGTTAAGACCTTGAAGACACTTTAGTTATAGACACAAAGACAGAAATTATGGACAAAGTTAAGACCTTGAAGACACTTCAGTTATAGTCACAAAGACATAAATCATGGACAAAGTTAACACCTTGAAGACACTTCAGTTATAGACGCAAAGACATAAATCATGGACAAAGTTAAGACTTTGCAGACACTTCAGTTAAGTTACAGACACAAATACAGAAATTATGGGAAAGTTAAGGCCTTGAAGACACTTCAGCTAAGTTATAGACACAAAGACAGAAATTGTGGACAAAAATAAGACATTTCAGACACTTCAGTTAAGTTATAGACACAAACACAGAATTACAGATTAAATTTAAAAGGCGCTCGCAAATGTGCAGATAAAATTATTGATGAAGTTATAAACAAATGGCCATATAAAATATCTGACCAAATTACAGATCCAAATAAAAAGTAGCAGACAAATTTACAGGCACAACAGAAACAATTTTAGATAAAATATCTACTTAGTTGCAGACAAAATCAAAGACAAACGTTCAAACGAAGCTTCACCAAAAATGCAATCATAGGAAGTGACAGAAATGAAAACAGACGAAACCTAAGACCTTGCAATCTATGTTTAAATATAAATAGTAACCTTTAATGCATTATAAGTTTAAATTTAAACAATGACTGTTAATACTACAAGATTTAAATAGAAGGAGTAAAAATTTTCTTCGCAAAAAATAAATTAATTAATTAAAAAATCCAAGATAATGTTGATCTCGCTAACTGCCACAGTGTCGACCAAATATAAACTAGAAACATAATTTTAATTACACCGCGTGAAAGCAATAACATTGTTTATATTCTAAATTCTATATGAAAGGAAAAGAAATGTAACAAATGTGAAAAACTTTCTGTCATCTGCTTATGATGGCGGATTTAAAAACAAAACAACAAGATAAGTCCAAAGCTACTTCTTTGGACATCGTAACCGAGAACATACTAAATAGTTCAGTTAACGGCAATGAAGCTATGTTTAATTTACGTACAGGAGTATGTGTAGTATTGTGATGGACGAACAACCCAAATTGTGAACATCCTCTATCTCATTTATTTTTTATTTTTTTATTTATTACATGTGTATCACACTAAAAAAAACAATTTTAGATTTCTGTAAGTATCGGCGTCAGGTAGCCAACCACTGCCTATAGAATGTCCCTGACCCCCCCCCCCCCCCCGGGACCGTAGCGTACAGGCACGACTTGCTCATCCACTTACCATCAGCCATTAACGTCAGTTTCAAGAAACGGACCGGTTGTGTCTCACTGACCTAACCAGGTGGACCTATTGAAATATGGGCTCTATTTTATGGCCTGTCAGAACAACCCCGCCTCCCCTCAATACACCCCCCCCCTAGAGGTAAAGTCAGTAGATAATTTACTTTGACATCGCCATCTAACCAATTAGAAGAGAAATTATTAGCACGGTATTCTATCGACAACGGTGGAGTCACTGACTCAGTAACAGAGTTTCTTTCAGGCATCTCTTCGGCGAAATTTTTTTACCCCCCCCCCCCCGAACGGAATGAGATTTATATAATTTATATAGAAAATATATACTTTTAACAGTGTCCGCCCCCCCCCCCGAAGAAAGTTTACCGCTCCCCCTCCCCCCCGAAAATTTCAAGTGCCTCCCCCCCCCCCCCCCGGAGAAAAAAGTCTGGAAGAAACACTACTCAGTATTCCGACGAAGCGAGTGGAGTCTTAGCTTAGATATTATATCTAGGACCTGGCTGAATGTAAGAATTTAAAATGGACCGCGAGAGCCTGCTTCATAGCGGTACCCGACTTTATCGACCTACATTTAGTATACAGCATAAACAAAAACAATATCAGTCGTAACATTTTTGTATTGCCATTTTGTAAGAATTAAAAGTGGTGGTATTAATATTTTAAAAAAATTTAACTTTTTAAATACAAGTTTTAAAAATAAATGATTTATCAGGTTTTCTCCATTGAAGCCAAACATCTTCTTAATGTGGCCATAATAAAATAGTTAACTACTTTTATATGCATTTGAATTTTTTAGCGCAATTTCCATTCTGGAGAATTGCGTTTATTAACTCGTCATTTCTGGGAATGGATGGATGGATGGATGAATGTGTGTCCGGGCTTTAAGTCGTATCTCCTCCTCAACGAAGCAATATCGATGAATAGTTCCAAAAGCAATTATGTTAAGCAAGTTACGAGAATGAGCATAGGCCATAAAAATTCCGGGTTTCTTTCATGTATTTCCCGGAAAAGCCAAAAAACCTCGAAAAAATTCAGTTTTTGGCCCATATCTCGGCAACCAGACCACTTAGCGACCAATCGATTCCTGTCTTAATTTAGAACAATATTGCCGAAGAAAGTTTTCAAAAATATTCTCTCGTTCGGTCACAAATTTTAAAATTACATAAACACCTACAAACCGATTGTTCTTCTAGCTTGAACGCACCCCAACATTATACGTCAGAGCTATTTTTAGATAACATAAGGAAATTGCGCACAAATGTCACTAGACTTTTTTAATTAACTTGTTTTTAATAAACCTTTTTTTTTGAAGAGAAATTTCATTTTTATTTAGCACATCAGTTTTTGGTATATTAGAAATAAAATCATCAAAATCCAGAAATAAAAATCTGAAGCATAATTTAAAATCGTTTTCATAAATAAAGTGTAACTATAAACATTGTTTTTGCTAAAGATAGGAGTAGATAGCTATACGAAATATCTTTTCTCAGGCTAAGCATAACTAGAAGCAATTTTTTAAAGATAATTTTTTATTTACTTACAATTGGTTTAATGTGGTAATGTCGGCCCACTTACAATAATAACTTTTCACAGAATATATTTTGATCGGGGTTTTAGAAACAAATATTGACTTCTGGTTTAATTAATGTAAGCTAGATTGAATTCGGCTACTATTTAAGAATAAATTCTGTTTTTTTTTCGTATTATAATTGTATATAACTCAAATAAGCAATTTATATACTTAATAGTTGGACAATGAAATTTAAAATATAAACAATAAAGTTCATTTACTGTTTATTGATTGATGGGTTATTGCCCTTGAGCAGATATATTCGCTATAGATGACATATCGTTATGACATTTTGTAATCTTATCATTAATTGTAAAACATGAGGTCGAAACACAGTATATTGTAATTAAAACTTGAATAGTTCAATAAAAATATACGTGCTGTAGCTTTTATCAATGGATTTGGTGTGGTTCATAAGTGTTGGCTATTAACTGACACAAGCGAACGATACAAAACAAATAAACCGGGAGTGATCTCCCCTAAACTTTCTCGAATATTCTGATATGAAAAAACAGGGAATGGCAACGCGGGATATAGACATGATTTTTAATCCATTTTAAATGCTTAAACTTTTTAAAATAGAATAAAATCTCGTAGAAAAAAAAGGATTGCACACCAATTGAACTTTATATAAAATGTGCAAAATAGTACTTTATACATTCACATGCGTTTTTTGAGAAATCGGAAATAGCGAAAATTATTACTTCCGGTCAACTTTCATTTAACCATCTGAAATAGTACTCAAGTCATAGGCTTTTGAAAATTTCAAAGTAGAAAAAGTTCCACTTCCGGTTATCGGAAATCGCTCAAAAGTTGATACGGATCTACGATTTCGATAAAATACTTACATATGAAATTTCATCAACCTAGCTCTAACGGTACTCAAGTTATCGTGTTTATATATACACACACACACACACAGACATACGGACAGAATTGGATAATCCAGTTTTTCCGGCTCCATTACGCATAAAACGCCAAAATTTTGATATATCTGGATTTATAAATTTTGCCCGATTAAAATAAGTCCTCTACATCCCGGATGTGATGATGGACTGAGGAGTAAAACGGTGAAAACTGTCCAAATTTAATGTGATTTTTGTGCACGATTACAAGACTTTCTCTATACTTCGTATATACGAGAAAGTAATACAAATGATGTGTAAGGGAGACAACTAAATATTTAAATAAAAAATGAATATATATAGCAACCAAATTATTAATTTCACAAACGAAACTAACTAGGAATATATATTTATAATAATAATCAATACAAAATAATAATTGTTTTTTAAATTGCTGACTTTTTAATTTTCGGCGAAAAAAACCTTTTATATTTTCTATATGTATTAAAAATACAAAAACTGTATAGTGTTGAATTAGTTTTTGGTATATATTTAAGATCACTATTTGATTTTTTATTCGTATTGAGCTGAATAATAGTAATTTTGGATCCCCACATGGGGACAATATATAAAGTGTCAAAAAAAAAAAAAAAAAAAAAAAAAAAAAAGTGTCAGTACTTCAAGCGAGTGTAATACTCATACACAAGCTTCCCATCAGTGATATCACTACATTCCTGCACTTATTTTTAAAGTATAGAAAGTCATTGTGGTAAACCCCTTTCTATGTTTTACTTGTGCTGAAATGCTCAAACCGTAGATATCAGATTATAGTAACACGACTATGATACAAAGCCAATAATTATAGTGGACAAACCTCTCAAAACCAGAGTTTCTTCCAGGCATCTCTTCGGGGTGGGGGGAGGGGGGGCTATGAAAGTTTACCGCCCCCACGAATGAAATGGAATTTATATAGAAAACGGTGCCCTGTCAAAACGGCCCTGGACAAATCGGCCCCGTCAAAACGGCCCTGTTAATATGACCCCGTCAAATGGACCTCCG